CCTGTGGTCCTCCGGGTCCTGGGCACCCCTTCTCCACCTGGACCCCCAAGAATGAACGGGGTGCTCCAGTGCCAGCTGCAAAAATCTTACCACACATGAATACTGCCCAGGAGCGTGGGAACTGCACAGAGACCCTCGGCCCTCCTCCCCCAGCACCTCCCCACCCACCCCCACCTCCCTACCCATCCACCCCCCCACACCTCCCCACCCATCCACCCCCCACACCTCCCCACCCACCCCCACCTCCCCACCCATCCCCCCCAGCACCTCCCCACCCACCCCCACCTCCCTACCCATCCACCCCCCCACACCTCCCCACCCATCCCCCCCAGCACCTCCCCACACATTTGTCCACCCTGCCCAGCCAGCACCTCCCTGTAATGGTGTGCAAGATGGGCCAACAGACCCTGCCTCCACCACCCTCAGCCTCCATCCTCCCTGCCTCCCCCCTCAGCCTCCATCCCCTCTCCTCATCCCCACCCCCCTCACCTCCATCCCCCTCCTCCCCCTCCATCCTTCCCCTACCTCCATCCCCTCCCCCTTCACCCCCTCCATCCCCCCTCACCTCCATCCCCCCTCCTCCCCTCCATCCTTCCCCTACCTCCATCCCCTCCCCCTTCACCCCCTCCATCCCCCCTCCTCCCCTCCATCCTTCCCCTACCTCCATCCCCTCCCCCTCCATCCCCGCCTCTGTCCTCCGTTCCCCCCCACCCTCCCTCCCCCTCCCCTCCCCCTCCCCCACCCCGCCTCCCTCCCGCTGCCCTCCTCCCGCCCCTCCCCGCGCGCGCTCCCGCGTGTTTTCCGACTGCACCAGCGGAGCCGGGAGCCCGCGGCGGCGGCGGCGGCGGCGGGCGAGGCCGGGCCAGTCGCCGCCCCCTCGGTGCCCGCGCTGCGGCGGCGCGGGGCGGCGCGGGGCTGAGCCGGGCGCGCTCGCACCTGCGGCGGCGGCGCCGGCGATGCGGAGGCGGCGCGGGCCGGGGCCGCGGGTCCTGCGCGCCGCGCCCGGGGATGCGCGCCGCCCGCCCGGGGCCGCCCGCCGCGCCGCTGGCCCTGGCCATGTCGTCGTCCTTCTTCAACCCCAGCTTCGCCTTCAGCTCGCACTCGGACCCCGGTGAGCCCGCGCCCTCCGCCGCGCCGCCCCGCTCCGGGCCGCGGGGCCGCGGGGCCGCGCCGCAGGCCGGGCGGCGGGGCGGGCGGCGGGGCGGGCGGCGGGCGGGTCCGCGGCCCCGCAGCGCCCGGCCCGCGGCGAGGCCCGAGGCGCCGCGGTGTTTACACCTGCGCGGCCCCGCGCCCCCACCCGGACCGACCCGCGTCCGGCCCGCGCGGCCCGGGGCCCACGGCCGAACAAAGCGGGGCCCACGCGCGGCGCCCCGGCGCCCCCCGCGGCCCCGGCCCGGCTGGAGGCGCGCGCCGGAGCGGGCGGCGCTTGTCTGGAGACAACTTCTCGGGTGACCTAAGGGGCCCGAGGTCACGGCGAGCCGAGGCGGCGGCGCCCGGGGCCCGCAGCCCAGGCCCAGGCCCCCTCGGGCGCCTTTGGCCCGAGGAGGCCCCGCGCCCGGCATGGCCGCGCCGGTCCTCCCCGACTCCAGCGGCGCCGGGTCGCTGCCGGGTGAGGAGGACTCGGGGCTGAGGGGCCGCGGGTCTGCCCTGCCGCCGTGCCCCGGTGTCCCCCCCCAGGCAGGGCCCAGGCCGCGCCATCCCGGGAGCACGAGCCGCCGCAGCTCAGGAGCATCCCACGATGACCGCGCCATGACCCGCGGGGAAAGTTGTCCCAGCCGGCGTGGCGAGCCGAGCCTCCGCCTGGCCGAGCGCTGCCCGAGGGTCTGCGGGGCCTGCGGGGCCGGGGCTGCCGGGACAGGGCCCGGGGGAGGACGGCCGGACCCACTGCTCTGCGACACTCAGGGTCCACGAGGCTTCCTGTGACTCTTGCCTTCCCCAGGCCTCCGTTTGCCTATCTGTGGCACGGGCAGCATGTCGGCCGTGTTTGGCGACCCCTTCCTGTCATCAGAGACTGATGTTTGGGGGTGGGGGGTGCAGCTGGGGCTGGGGCTCCCTCGGCCACCGTGGCTCGCTGGCTTTTCTCCAGTCCCGAGGTGAAGGGCGCTGGCCCACCCACCTGCACCCAGAGGCCCAGACCGGGTGGTGTGCCGGCAGATGCAGCCCCTGCCCCGGGCGGAGGTCCCGGCAGACCCACGCAGTGCCCCTTTGCCCCCTGGGCAGTGCTGTGCCGCCTCAGGGCTTGGTGCTGGTCCCCACAGAGGCGTGGGTGATGGGTTGGTGGTTAGCAGTGGGGTGTCCGCCCCCTGGGGTTCTGCAGGGTCCCCTGAGGCCCTCCACCGCCACAGACACTGGGCAGGGCCAGTGCGAGGTGACCAGGCCTAGACGTGCATTCCTGGGGGACCCCCGGCGTAGGGAACGGCTGCGTGCTGGGGTGCGTGCCCTGGCCACTGCGCCCGGTGGCGGTGGGCAGCATCCCCGCCGCTCAGCTCTGCTCCGCCCGGGGACACTAAGGTACCGCAGGAGATGGAGGGTGGCAGGGCGGCTTCCGGGGACACCAGCAGCGGCTGAGCCAGGCTGGGGAGCAGAGGGCAGAGCCGCTCCTCCGGAGGGGCCTCGCAGCTGCCCAGGGTCTGCCGGTGGAACCCCCGGCCAGGCGTTGGAGTTCTGGGGCCTCCAGCGAGGAGCCTCAGCTTCAGGGACGCACTGAGCTCTCCGGCACACGTAGGGCCCGGGCTGCCTGGTGCTCGCGTACCCCCCCCCGTCCCTCCCCCTCCCCCAGTGCTCACACCCCCATTCGCCCAGGAGCCCCTTTCTGACCCTCTTGCTCTCTGCCTCAGTTTCCCCCTCTGTAAGGCGGGAATGGATGCAGTGCCGGCACTGGAGGGGTGCTGGTATGGGTCAGTGCAGGGTCAGGCCAGCCTGGCGGGGTGACCTGGGGCCCCCGCGGCCATCCCCACAGTCGAGAGGCCCACAGAGCCCACCCTGTCTGCAGACCCTCCGCTCACGGTCTGTCCCCAGCCCCGATTCTGCCCCACAGGGGGCTTTCCTGGGGACAGCCGACCGCTGGGCCTGGGCGTGGCTGGTGCAGGGCAAGCTTGATGGGTCCCCGTGACCGGGCGGCAGTGGAGGCCACGTGTCCCGTCCCAGGCGTGGTGGAGAGGGGGTTGGGAGGGGCCCAGGGAGCGCCCGCCCCGCCCACCGGCTCACAGGCACCCTGGAAACAGGTGTGGGGACCTGTGGGTCAGGCACTGGTGGGAGGCCGGCCGGCCAACCCGTCCAGGCCTCCCGGGCTGGGGCCGCACAGAGACCTCGGGCAAGCTGGGGGCTGCTCACGCCTGTGTGGCCAGGCCTGGCCAGGCCAGTGCTGGCTGCCCTCCAGAGGTGAAGTGCAGGGGTGCGAGGGGGCAGGGGCAGAGGTGAAGTGTGGGTCGCCGGCCCTCGGACGGGGCGGGGAGGATGCGGCCCCAGGGCCGTTGCACACACAGCTTGTGCACAGGCCCGGCACTCATCACTACCCCTGCTCTGCGTGCTCCCACTCCAGTGCTCAGGGTCATGCGGTGAGCCGGCCGCGCATGCATTTCTGCACAGATGCACGCGTATGCACATGCAGCACTGCTGGTCCTGTGTGTTCCCTGCGGCTCTGCCCTCTGGGTGGAGGTGAGGACCCCGGCCTCCATGTCTGTCCCCCACTGCCTCCCGGGGACCTTCGGTGAGGTCACGCTTCCTCGAGCCCACCTGTGCAGTGTCCTGGGCCCTGGGGCCTCCCAGGCTGGTGGCTTCTCTCTGGTTTGGGGTGACATTGAATCAGGCATGTTGGGGCCCCAGCGTTTCTGTGGATCTGAGCCCCTGAGCTGGCTGGGCTGGACGTGAGGTCGTGGTGTCATTTGGGACACGCTGGGGCCTGAGGTGGAGGGGGGCAGCAGCTGCGTGGCCCCAGCTTGGGTTGCTGAGCCTTTCACCTGCTGGGGGGTGGGGGGGCATCTCAGCTCCTCCGGGGGGGCCTGGCCGGGGCGTGGCCGGCTCCGGACGCTGCTCACACTGACACCGGAGGCCCGCACCCCACCGTGCCCCCGAGGGGCTCTGCGGGGTGTCCTGTGTCCTGGGCAGTCACCCACATGCAGCGCTGCGCAGGACCGCAGAACAGGGCTGGTCTGCAAAGGCGCTTGGTTAGTTAAGATGAGGTCATGCGGAGGCCCTAATCCTGAAAAGAGGACACAGAGAGAGGTCCAGGAGGAGCCGCAGGAAGAGTAGCGGTGTGACCAAGAGCACTTGCGCCCCAGCGTTGGAAGAGGCGCAAGGCCCCTCCCCAGGCCTGGAGGGGAGCCGGCTCCCGCCTGAGAGGGGTCGCTGCCGCCGGCCAGTGCCGGCCACCTGGCTGCCCACCCAGGGCGCCATGTGGCATGTCCTCCAGTTTGAGGTGAAGGCGGGGCTGGGGGCCTGCGCCGCCCTGGAGTCTGCCTGCGTGTGGTGGGCGAGGAGGAGTCTGGGGTGAGGCCCTCACTATCCCTGCCCCTCTGGGGCGCCCAGGCCCCTGCCCGGGCTGCGCTCAGGCTGTGGCCGCCTGCCTGAGGGCAGAGACCAAGGCTGGGCCAGAGGGGAGAGAATGAAGGCCACCGGCAGCGGACTGACCGCAGCCCTGTGCCTTTCCCGCGCGGCACAGACGGGGTTGGCCCCAGAGCCTGAGGTGGTGGGCAGGGCAGGCCTCGTTGGCCCCAGAGCCTGAGGTGGTGGGCTGGGCAGGCCTGGCCTCGCGGCCGCTCCCGGTGTGTGGCGTGCGTGTGCGGTGTTGGAGGCTTTGGCGCGGCCCCTGCGGCCCGCCCCGCCGGCTGTCAGGCTGTCACGGAGGAATCAGCAGCAGGACAGCGCCTCCTCCCCGCCCCCCGCGGAGGAAGCCAGCAGAGGAAATGAGGGCAGCGGACGCGGGGCGAAGCCAGTTCCCAGACGGCCTGTCTGGGTGGACAGTGGCATCCCCTGCCTGTCTGGGCTGTCCGCGTGGGGCGGGCCGGGCCCTCCTGGGGGTCTCGGTGGGGGCAGAGCCACGCGGGAGCCACACCCCGAACCCGGTAGGTGGGGGTTTCTGGGAGGACAGCGGCCACCCTGCCCCTGACAGCCTGCCAAGGGGATGGCTGTCCCCAAGGGCTCTGTTCCGGCAGGGTCCCCGGGGACATGGCGACACCCAAGACACATGCAGGCTCTGTGCAGGGACCCCACAGGCGTCCTGGGTGGGTGAGGGCCCCCCCCCCCCCCGCCCTGGCCTCTGCTGGCAGGGCACAGGGCCGCCACCTTCCCGCCCAACCACCCGGCAGGGAGAGGCTCCTCCCTGTCACCGGCTCAGGCAATGACATCAGGCAGCCTTAGCCATGTGGCCCGATGCCTGCTGGGAAATGACCGGCTGGCCGTGTGGGCCGGGCAGGGGATGGGGGCAGGGGCTCAGAACCTGGGTGCTGATGAGGTGGCTCTGTGCTCTAAGCCTGGGCCGGCGTGGGGCGGCCGCTGACCGGGGGGCGGCCCGGGGGTCCAGCACTCACTCAGCCCCTCCGGCTTCATGTTGGGTTCTGATTCACCTGTTTATTTTTTTTTTCCCTTTGGTACGGGAGCGGGAACCCGGCCGGTGTGTGTAAGGGTCCACCGCCGCGCCATGCACACGCCAGCCCCCGGATCCTTTTTTTTTTTTGTCGGTCATGGGGCTTGAACTCTGGGCCTGGGTGCTGTCCCTCAGCTCTTCAGCTCAAGGCAAGCGCTCTACCACTTGAGCTACAGCGCCACTTCCGGTTTTCCGGTGGTTTATTGGAGATAGGAGTCTCACGGTCTCTCCTACCCGGGCTGGCTTTGAACTGCGATCCTCAGATCTCAGCCTCCTGAGTAGCTAGGATTACAGGCATGAGCCACCAGCGCCCGGCCCTGGATCCTTGATGCCAGCAAGGGGCCTGTGTGTGCGTTTTGCCCTGCAGGATTTGCAGCTGGCCGCCCTTCTCAGCGCGGCGGGGCTGGGCTGAGGGCCAGGCCTGGGGCACCAGACGGGGCGGTCACTGGATAAAGGGTGCAATGCTCCTGTCCCCACCAGTTCTTTCCTGTCTCCTAGCCGGGCTGTGGAGATGTCCACGGGCCACATAGAATTTCCTCAGATCCCCTGGGGCCGCAGGCCACACGCCCTGCCCCCAGCTGTGGCCTGCAGTCCGTCCAGCTGAACTCACCTCACATGATGCCATCCCAGCCCTGCCTGTGCCCACGGCCCTGACCCCACCCCCCTCAACCCTGACCCCATCCCCACGGTCCTGACCTCCTCCCCTCAGCCCTGACCTCATCCCCCTCAGCCCTGACCCCGTCCCCTCAGCCCTGACCCCATCCCCACGGTCCTGACCTCCTCCCCTCAGCCCTGACCCCATCCCCACGGCCCTGACCCCGTCCCCTCGGCCCTGACCCCATCCACTCGGCCCTGACCCCGTCCCCTCGGCCCTGACCCCATCCACTCGGCCCTGACCCCGTCCCCTCGGCCCTGACCCTGTCCCCACGGCCCTGACCCCATCCCCATGGCCCTGACCCCATCCACTCGGCCCTGACCCCGTCCCCTCGGCCCTGACCCCATCCACTCGGCCCTGACCCCGTCCCCTCGGCCCTGACCCTGTCCCCACGGCCCTGACCCCGTCCCCTCGGTCCTGACCCCATCCCCACGGCCCTGACCCCGTCCCCATGGCCCTGACCCCATCCCCACGGCCCTGACCCCGTCCCCTCGGCCCTGACCCCGTCCCCTCGGCCCTGACCCCGTCCCCTCGGCCCTGACCCCGTCCCCACGGCCCTGACCCCGTCCCCTCGGCCCTGACCCCATCCCCATGGTCCTGACCTCCTCCCCTCGGCCCTGACCCCGTCCCCACGGCCCTGACCCCATCCCCACGGCCCTGACCCCGTCCCCACGGCCCTGACCCCATCCCCACGGTCCTTACCTCCTCCCCTCAGCCCTGACCCCGTCCCCTCGGCCCTGACCCCGTCCCCACGGCCCTGACCCCGTCCCCTCGGCCCTGACCCCGTCCCCACGGCCCTGACCCCGTCCCCTCGGCCCTGACCCCGTCCCCTCGGCCCTGGCCCCGTCCCCACGGCCCTGGCCCCGTCCCCTCGGCCCTGGCCCCGTCCCCTCGGCCCTGACCCCGTCCCCTCGGCCCTGGCCCCGTCCCCTCGGCCCTGACCCCGTCCCCTCGGCCCTGGCCCCGTCCCCTCGGCCCTGGCCCCGTCCCCTCGGCCCTGACCCCGTCCCTGTGCAGGTCCGGTGCACTTTCCCCAGGCTCTGCAGGCGCTGTCACACTCTGAATGATGGTTTGCTGCGTGGACAAGGCAGCCGGGCACCTGCTCCGCGTGTGTACGCATGTGTGCAATAGCTCCGTCCGGCTCTGGCCTGGCGCTTGGGTGCTGCTCTGCGCGTCTGGCCAGCCGCTTCATCTTTGCTGAGATTTCATTCCATGCACACAGGGTGAAGTCAAGGCTTTTCACTCAGGAAATGCTGGGCCGCACACCACCCCAGTCCGGGAGCACTCTCCCCGTACGCACCCACAGCCGTGAGCTGTCACTCCCTGTTCTGAGGGGCACACTGCACAGTGGGCGTGGGTAGAGGGACCCTTCACCCTGACCCCTCCCCTGGGAGGTGGCTGGGTGCGGGGTCTGGTGTTGTCCAGCAGGCCGGCGTGCAGTGGCTCGTGGTGATCCCGGCTCTGAGCGTCAGAGTCCCCGCATGGGACACCGCTGCACCCCTCCTTGGTGCTCTGCGGCGGCCGTGTGTGCTGGACACGGCCAAGGACAGACGCACGCATTGAGACCCCGCTGCACGGGCTCACTTGTGAGGGATGCAGGGCAGACATGCCCACCCAACCCGGCACGGCCCCAGCGGGGGCCTCTTCCCCGGGGACCCACAGTCTCCCCTGTGCTCCCTGCGGGGACTCAGGGCTGCCCACCGGGCACGGCCATCTTGGCCTTCCTGAGAAGCAGGGCCCGGCTCCTGTCCTGCTCGGACCCGGGCCCCGCGGGCGCAGCGTTGTCCCCAACGGGGCTGTGGCTGCCCGGGCCTCTGCAGAGGCTTGCGGCCCTGCTCTCCATCCTGTGCTCCTGGCGATGGTGGCACCACGCTTAGCAGCTCTGGGGCTAGAATGATGGCGTCCCTGGCTCACCTTTCCCTTGGCGACAGGCCTTCAGGGTCTACCTAAAGCCGGCCGCAGCCGGCATGAGTCCCGGCGCTCCATGGCCTGGCCTCGAAGCCCCGGGAGGCCGCTGGCATGTGGTGGTGCTGCGGGAGGAGCCGTGTGACCGGGACCCAGGCTGAGGGGTGAGCACCAGGAGCCGAGGCTCAGGCACCGTGAGCTGGCCTGGGAGACACTGCATGGGCCGGCGCCGCTCAGGGCTTCTCAGCCCGGGCCCAGGTGCCCTGAGGGCCACTCCTCCCAGACCCGCTGGGAGGGCCTGCGGCACGGCTCCGTCCTGCGCCTGTGCCAAGATGTCCTCCCAGTGCCACGCTGGAGCACCCCCCCCCCCCCCCCCCCGCCGCGCTCTCTGGCGTCTGGGGCCTGAGTTCTGGGGTAGTGAGTCAAAAGGCCGGGAAGGCAGATCTTACTGCCCTGGGAGAATGCTGAGAGGCCTCGTGTGTGTGCGCTGGGGGAGGTGGACGTGAGGGGCAGTGCCTGTGTGTGTGTGACCCCTGCGGAAGAGAAGCCTGCACGTGTGAGGATTTTTACACTCCTGTGTGTGCTGGGCCAGTAGGCACAGATGTGTGTGAGGACTGTGATTCAGAAGTAGGGGTGAGTGATGGCTGCCGGGCACACGCGGCATTTGTGTGCAGGGCTGAGTCTGTGGGCACCGTGTGTGAGCATGTGCTAATACACATGAACCTGGCACTAGTAGCTCACGTCTATACTTAGCTCAGGAGGCTGAGATCTGAGAATCACAGTTCGAAGCCAGCCTGGGTAGACTCTTTTTGTTTTTCTGTGTTATCAGTTATGGGACCTGAACTCCAGGCCTAGGCGCTGTCCCTGAGCTCTTTTGCTGAAGGCTAGTGCTCCACCACTTTGAGCCACAGCTCCACTTCTGATTTTCTGGTGTGTAATTGGAGATGAGAGTTTCATGGACTTTCCTGCCCAGGCTGGATTTGAACTGTGATCCTCAGATCTCAGCCTCCTGAGTAGCTGGGATGACAGCGTGAGCCACCGGCGCCCGGCTTCCATCAGACTCATCTCTAATCAGCCACACACAAACCAGAAGTGGAGCTGAGGCTCCAAGTGGTGGAGCGCTAGCCTTGAGCAGAAGAGCAGGGACAGCGCCCAGGCCCTGAGTTCAAGCCCCAAAGCCCCACCAAAAAAAAAAAAAAAAGTGTGTGTGTGAGAGAGCTAGTGTGAGCTAGTGTGAGCTAGTGTGAGGAATGTATCACGGCATCACCTGGGCCCTCCAGAAGCCTGTGAACCCCAGGCTGACCCCCGCCCTGACCCCTGACCTTTGGGTACAGGTGACTGGCCTCGTGACAGTAGTCAGGCAGGCCGTGGTGGTGTCAGGGCTCCCAGCATGGCCTGCGGTCTCCGTGGCCCGCCGTCTCTGTGGCCATGTCACCCCAGGGCTAGGCCTGGTTTTGTCTCTACCCAAGGATGGAATCTGCAGGATTCGGCTCCTCTCGGAAGACATTGGCCTGAGGCCAGTGAGCGGCTGCCCCACACTGTCTGGGGCGGGACAGCCTCTCCGCCTCTCCTACCCAGGAGCCCCCAGCCCAGCTACTCGCCCAGCCAGGAGCCGGGAGGGGTGTCTGTGATGGGCTGGGCCGCGTGCTCTCGGTGCTCCCCGCCCGCCCGCCAGGGCTTCCCCAGCTGAGCGTGCTCACCCCCAGGTTGCGACAGTTCCTTCCTGTGCCCCACGCATTTGTGCCACCACGCGGGCGGGCGGAGGTGACCGGCCCCGACTGTCCAGGACGCTGTCCACAGGGCCTGCAGAACGGCGGTGAGGAGTGAACAACAGAGGGGTCGGGCAGAGGGGCCCCGGGACCCCCGCGCAGAACCCCCTCCCGGAGCACAGGGACAGCCGGGGCCCACTGCGCAAAGCC